AGAAAACTGGGCAAGAGAAGCTCGAGAAGCAGTCCCACAAGGTATGCTCACAGTGTACATTTTACCTATTTTTTGTTTTTTTTCCTTTTTGCAGTTTCTGGTCACAATCCTTGCTTTATTTATAGGTTAAATGGTGGAAGTTTTAGTTGAGTTTGATTATTGTTTTGATAGTGGATCATTTTTTTACAGGTTAAACAATGGAGATGACTTTTCTGTTGAAGCATTATGTCAAGATGGAAAGATTTACTTCACCATTGCACTCAGACGTTTTGGAGATGACTTCTCTGTTTTCTTTACTTGTTTTGAATGTTAAGGTTTTGGACACTGTATGAATTATGTTGTAGACGTAATTTTATTGACAACTTGGTAGATACTGATAACAATTGATATGTTGAATGTTTTTATGTTTTAATTTGAATGTTCTTATTTAGATATATCACATATCTCGGAATTACCATTTATTTGAATGAATTCAAAAGGATATCAATAATAATTTTAAAAAGTTACAACAGTAGAACATAACAAGGAAAAAAAAGTTATTAATCTGTATCGTAGCTATGCTAAAGAGCTATAAGAGGATGAAAATAACTTTTCTTACACGCTATAATACTTCAATTCTATAGCGTTTTTTATAACTCTCTTGAAACGTTATGTTTTCTTAGGACCTATAATAGTGCCCGCTGTCCTAGCGCTCTAAAAAGCGCTATTGATAGTGATTAATAACGTTTTTCGTCAGCTACGAAAGGCCTTTTGTGGTGTAGTGAGTCTTTCATAACGTTCATAGACGATTTATCTTATATATGGTTTGAATGCACGAGTTATTTAGTAGTATGTTGCTTGTGTAAACCAAATGCAAAACTGCCTCCCCGTAATATGACAAAATGATGGCAATAAATTTTCAAATTTTGCAGTAATTTCGTGAATTTATAATTTTGGCAGTACCTTTTACTTCCAGCAAACGCAAGGCTATTCGTTTAGTTGAAGACTTAGCCATATACCGGTGAAACGTGAATATGCCTTTGGTTGTAGAACTCTGAAAGTCCTGGGATTTACTTTGATAAAATTTTATGGTCTATTTGTTTCATACGTTTAAACTCATAATTTTGATTTTGTTACAGTGTTTTCCTCTTATAAAAAATTTAAATTTCAAATATCAGAATTAAGAATTACTAATTTAAACGCATAAACTAAACGAGCCCTTCTAGAATGTTGAACAGCTGGGTTCGGAATAGCACTTCTACAGACCATCGGTTTGTTGGAAATTTATTCATTCTTACATTTTACTTGTATTTTCAGATTGCAGTTTCTGTAGGAAATGATTTTGCGATATTTTCCAGAGGTGATAAGTTGCAAAGCATGTTAATACTAGATCAAAAAGTGCTTCCGTAACGAGGCTTTGTTTTTGTCGTTCTCTCCTTGTCTCGTGCTCGATAACCTTTTGGCAAAGAGTAGGTAGGTTCTCTTTTTAAGTCTTTTTCCAACGATGCAAGCAAAGATGTTGGCCTTTTTTGATCCGTCATTTCATGGATCAATATAAGAAAAATGCTCGAGTGTCAATCGCCACAACTAATTGAGAATAGGGTTCATTTTTAGGTCCCACACTTTATTAGTGTGATGTTTCAACGCTGTTGATGCTCTTTAGCATTAGTCATGAAGATTTACTCTTATCTAATTTGCGAAATATATCCACCGATCACCATACAGCAATTCCGCACAAACATGACATAAACATAACATGAAGCATGGTATCTTATCATGATATGATGTTTAGGCCAAAACATGCAGCATATTATTTTATTCCTCAACCAATTCTTTCAGACCAAAAAACAAAAAACCAAGACGCTACAAACAGTTATTATTTCTTCTTCTTTTTTTTTTTTTTTTCCTTTTTCCATTGTTTTAGCTCACACCACGTGGAAGATTACACTGGAACTGCATGGAGAACCTCTCAGAGGGTCACAACCGGATTGGCACTTGACTTCCTTCAATCCATAGGCCAAGTAAATAAGAGTTGGATCAGTAGAGCCTTCCTTGTAGTATGCAAACACCAAACTTCCATCATCATGCATGTTCTCCCCCACAAAACTGCCAGGACCCATGACCCAGAAACAGCCAATATTGGATGAAATAGCCAAATGAGTACTAAATAAAGAGGAAAAAAGGAGAGTAAATATTGTTGGATTTCTTTCCTTCCTTAAGTTTCGGTAACCAACCGAAACAATCCTCAAAACGTGGTCCATTATATTTCCCACTTAAGGAACGTGATTGGTCACGTTCATCTTCAGTTGTCCACGATGCCCACTTTCGGTGCACGTCTGAGCGTCCGAGAAAGACTCTGTGATGGGCAGAGTCTATAAAAGAGGACATAGGACATTGTTTTTGGGTCCCTAAGCCTGCTATCTCCATTCAGTCAGAATATACACCATCAAACGAGAGATTGAAGAGGTTTAGAAGAGCCAAAAATCTGAGTTTTCTTTTCTTCCACCGAGAGCTTCAATGGCCGGAGGTGTTTTATCTCCATCCATTTATTTCAATTCCGCATTGATCTAATTGCCATTTAGAATCCTTAGGAGCATGTTTAGATCATTTATAAATCCTAACAATTGGTATCAGAGCCTTAGTTTGTCTCTGCCTTGTATCCTCTCGTTCTGCTCACGTAAAATACCGTGGGAGAAAATTTTTTGGCAACTCTTGATTTTGGCGTTTTTTATGGAAACTGAGATTAGGAATCATTGGGTAATCGAATTCCTATCATTTCTGAGTTTTAAACATCAATTTTGGTCATCAAAATCAAGAGAAAAAGTCAGGTTTTCAGTCGGGTTGAAACCGGGTCGAAACAGACCCGGCTGGAGGTTGAAGAAGCATCAACAGTCTGAAAAAATGACATGTCGTTTCGCCCTTGGGTATATAAAACGACATGTCGTTTCTGTTGAATATAAGCTGTTGCCTTTTAGAAAAACGACGCATCATTTTTCAATGGTAACATTGAAACGAGTTGTCATTTTCTTACGGACCTTTGCAGCATACATTACCAAAACGACTTGTCGTTTTTGATTAAGCAAAAAAAAAAACCCCGAAAATTAAAAAAAAAATCATAAATTAAGTATATATGGGTATTTGGTATATATTTACCCATTTTATGATTTTTATGGAATTTTTATAAGTAAGACATATAAATGAAAGGTTCATTAATTTTTATGTGTTTAATGGATTAATTTGGGTATTTATGTGCATATATTATTTATTTATTTGTAGTGCTAGTACATTGATATTCAAATATTTTGGGTTAATATTGCATATAGTTTCAAGCAATAAAATATGAACCTTTATGATTTATTAATGTTAAGTAATCCATATAATTTTACTTAATTAGGGAGTAGCCACGGCATCTTTAATTACTTAAAATTATATATATTAAGTGTTTCAGGATTACATTATGACATTAATTGTGATTAATCATATGTAATATAATAAATTTTATCCCACAGGAATTTTTATTATATTTATATGATTAATTAGGATAGAATATCAAATTAAATTTCTTAATTTACCCACAGGAATTAGGAAATAAAGCATAATTTGATAGTTTTATCATAAGGTCACAGATGGATCTAATTGAGTTAAAACTTTAGCCCACGGGCAAGTTTTATGTCACTAGATTCATAGAATATGATTTACATTAGTAAAACATGATATGAGTTTATGAGTCTCAAAATTTTAATTATAAGCATGTGTTTAATTTTATGCAGTTATGCAACCTGCGAATTTCTCTGATATGAAGTGTGACATTCCTGAAATGAGGGGTGATAACTATAAGATGTGGAAGGAGAGAGTCCTTCTTCATTTCGGGTGGATAGACATTGATTATGCTATAAGGAAAGGCGAACCAGTCATTACTCCGACCAACACCCCAAATGAAATTGCTCTATATGAACAATGGGAGCGATCCAATCGCCTCAGTGTGATGTTCATTAAGACCAAGATCTCTGCTGGCATTCGTGGTTCAGTTGATCAGCATAACAATGTCAAGGCATTACTGAAGGCCATTGATGAACAGTTTGAGTCTTCAGATAAGGCACTTGCTAGCACCCTAATTATGAACTTTTCATCCTTAAGGCTCACTACTGTGAGAGGTGTGTGTGAGCACATCATGCAGATGAAGACATTGCAGCTCAACTGAAGACACTTGAGGTTGAAATGTCTGACTCTTTCCTTGTGCACTATTGTGAGAGGTGTGCGTGAGCACATCATGTGTGTTTAGGAAGAGGGTAGGCTGTCAATGGAACTAGGAGAAAGTGCATTGATGGCAATGGAAGGAAAGGATCAGAATCAAGCCAAAAGGAAGGGGAAAGGTAAGATACTGCCCCAAGGTGGAATCAAGAAGGAATCCAAGTGCTTTTTCTGCAAGAAGAAGGGGCACATGAAGAAGGGTTGCACTAAATTCCAGAAATTGCTTGAGATGAAAGGTATACCAATCTCATTTGTCTATTATGAATCTAATATGGTTGATGTTATTTATAACACATGGTGGATTGATTCTGGTTCTACAATCCATATTTCAAATACCTTGAAGGGTATGCGAAATCTAAGGAAGCCAGTGGAAAGTGAGCAGTGCATTTATTTAGGGAACAAGATGCACTCACATGTGGAGGCTGTTGGAACATGCAGTTTAGTTTTAAGTAGTGGTTTTATTTTGAATTTAGAAAAGACATTTTATATTCCAAGTTTCTCTAGGAATTTAATTTCAGTTTCAAGACTTGTACTTTTGGGATATTCCTTTAATTTTATGAAACTTCTTTCAGTTTGTTTTATAAATCTAATCTTATTGAAAATGGTACATTATCTGATGGTCTTTTCTCTATTAACTTGCAAAATAATATCACTTATAATGCTATGCATGTTCACACTGGCACTAAAAGAAGTGTTATAAATGACAATTCCTCTATGTTATGGCACCGGAGACTATGACATATCTCCATTCAAAGGATTAAAAGATTGGTAAATGAAGGAGTACTCAGCACTCTTGATTTTACTGATTTTGAAACTTGTGTGGACTACATTAAGGGAAAGCAGACTAACAAATCCAAGAAAGGTGCAAAAAAGGAGTACAGACATATTATAAATCATACATACAGATATTTGTAGTCCAGACATGGACTCACAAGGTCCAAAATACTTCATCTCATTCATAGATGATTACTCACGTTATATGTATCTCTACTTGCTTCATAACAAGAATGAAGCATTGGATGCCTTTAAGGTCTTTAAGGCTGAAGTAGAGAAACAATGTGGAAAACAAATTAAGATCGTGAGATCAGATAGAGGTGGAGAATACTGTGGTAGATACGCTGAAAATGGACAAGCACATGGACCATTTGCAAAGTTTCTTCAAGAAAATGGGATAGTTGCCCAATACACTATGCCTGGTTCTCCAGACCAGAATGGTGTGGCAAAAAGAAGAAACCTAACCTTAATGGACATAGTACGGAGTATGCGTAGCAACTCCAAGCTTCCTGAATTCTTGTGGACAGAAGCTCTTAAAACGGTTGCGTACATATTAAACCGAGTTCCAACCAAGGCTGTTCCAAAGACACCTTTTGAGTTATTCAAAGGTTGGAAACCAAGTTTGCAACATGTGCGCGTTTGGGGATGCCCGTTTGAAGTAAGAGTTTATAACCCACATGAAAAGAAACTGGACCTAAGGACCATTAGTGGATATTTTATCGGATATGCTGAAGGTCTAAAGGATACAGATTCTACTGTCCATCTCACAGCACTAGGATTGTGGAATCAAGAAATGCAAAGTTTCTTGAGAATGACTTGATTAGTGGGAGTGATTGATTTCAGGACATTGTTTCTGAAAGAAATCATACTGATATTCAGCCTTCCACTTCAAGTGACAGATTGATTGTCATTCACAACACTCCTCAAGTTCAAACAGGTGTTGGATAACCAATTGTTGAAGCTCCACAAACTATTGATAACAATCCAGTAGATCAAGATGTTCAAGAATTGCCAGAAATTATTGAACAATCAGTTGCACTTGGACAACCAATTGTTGAAGCTCCACAAACTACTGATAACAATCCAATAAATCAAGATGTTCAAGAATTGCCAGAAATTATTGAACAACCAGTTGCACAACATGATCCTCAAGAAAATGTTGATACAACTTTAAGGAGATCTACTAGAGTAAGGAAATCAGCAATACCTAGTGACTATGTTGTGTATCTACAAGAGTCTGACTACAACATTGGTGCCGAAAATGATCCTAAAATGTTTTCACAAGCCATGGATAGAAAAGAATCAAATTTATGGTATGATGCCATGAAAGAAGAGATGAATTCTATGGCAACTAATGGAGTATGGGATCTTGTTGAGTTGCCTGATGGTGTCAAAGCCATAGGATGTAAATGGGTCTATAAGACAATGAAAGACTCATTAGGCAACATTGAAAGATATAAAGCAAGACTCGTTGCTAAAGGATTCACTCAAAAGGAAGGAATCGACTACAAGGAGACCTTTTCTCCTGTATCTAAGAAAGATTCTCTTTGTATTATTCTAGCATTAGTTGCACATTTTGACTTAGAGTTGCAACAGATGGATGTGAAAGCATCATTTCTCAATGGAGAACTAGAAGAAGAGGTTTACATGAAACAACCAGAAGGATTCTCTTCTAGTTGTGGCGAGCATTTGGTGTGCAAGCTCAAGAAATCCATATATGGATTGAAATAAACCTCCCGTCAATGGTATTTGAAGTTTCATGATGTTATCTCTTCATTTGGATTCGTGGAGAACATCATGGATCAATGTATATACCAGAAGGTCAGTGGGAGCAAGATTTGTTTCCTTATTCTATATGTGGATGATATTTTATTTGCAACCAATGATAAGGGTTTGCTATATGAAGTGAAACAATTTCTCTCTGAAAACTTTGACATGAAGGATATGGGTGATGCGTCGTATGTCATTGGCATCAAAATACACATAAATAGATTTCGAGGTATTTTGGGTCTGTCTCAAGAGACCTATATCAATAAAGTTTTAGAGAGATTCTGAATGAAAGATTGTTCACCCAGTATAGCTCCCATTGTGAAGGGTGATAGGTTCAATTTGAACCAGTGCCTGAGGAATGATCTTGAACGGGAACAAATGAAAAACATTCCTTATGCTTCAGTTGTTGGAAGCCTAATGTATGCTCAGGTCTGCACGAGACCTGACATTGCATTTGTTGTTGGGATGTTAGGAAGATATCAGAGTAATCCAGGTATGGACCACTGGAAAGCTGCAAAGAAGGTGCTGAGATACCTTCAAGGGACCAAAGACTACATGCTTACATACAGACGAACTGAAAACTTGGAGGTGATTGGCTACTCTGATTCAGACTATGCTGGCTGCATTGATTCGCTTAAATCAACTTCAAGATATGTTTTTATGCTAGCCAGTGGAGCTGTATCTTGGAGAAGCACAAAGCAAACATTGATTGCTACTTCCACTATGGAGGCTGAGTTCGTATCTTGTTTTGAGGCTACCTCGCATGGTGTATGGATGAAGAGTTTAATTTCTGGGCTTAGAATTGTGGATTCGATTTCTAGGCCATTGAGGATATATTGTGACAATTCAGCTGCAGTTTTTATGGCTAAAAACAACAAAAGTGGTAGTCGAAGCAAGCACATCAACATCAAGTATCTAGCCATAAGGGAACGTGTTAAGGATAAAACAGTGGTTATTGAACACATTAACACTGAATTGATGATTGCTGATCCTTTGACTAAAGGCATGCCACCATTGAAATTTAAGGATCATGTAGATAGAATGGGACTTGGTTCCTTTATGTGAATTTCGTTGTAAGAACGAATGCTATTTTTAATGAAACTTTATTTGTGATGTTTTCTCATATTTGTTTTCCTTGTGTACACATTCATTTATTTGTTGAGAAATATCATTAATGTTTGGACCTAGAATAAACATAAGATTTATTCATTAAGTTATATGGCTATTATTGAGAAATATTATGCATTGTAATACATGGAAGATAATACTCGTTTTAGAGGACTTATCGCCATGATTCATGTATTTTATTTCTTACTGTGGTGAACGATGGAATATATGGACCAAGTGGGAGAATGTTGGATTTCTTTCCTTCCTTAAGTTTCGGTAACCAACCGAAACAATCCTCAAAACGTGGTCCATTATATTTCCCACTTAAGGAACGTGATTGGTCACGTTCATCTTCAGTTGTCCACGATGCCCACTTTCGGTGCACGTCCGAGCGTCCGAGAAAGACTCTGTGATGGGCAGAGTCTATAAAAGAGGACATAGGACATTGTTTTTGGGTCCCTAAGCCTGCTATCTCCATTCAGTCAGAATATACACCATCAAACGAGAGATTGAAGAGGTTTAGAAGAGCCAAAAATCTGAGTTTTCTTTTCTTCCACCAAGAGCTTCAATGGCCGGAGGTGTTTTATCTCCATCCGTTTATTTCAATTCCGCATTGATCTAATTGCCATTTAGAATCTTTAGGAGTATGTTTAGATCATTTAGAAATCCTAACAAATATAGCACATACAATTGGAGATCGTTAAGCTTAGAGAGCAGGTACTTGGTGGCCCCCTCAATATGCTTCTTGAACAGCTCTTGCTTCTCTGGTTCCAGTTTTGGTGTCGGCGATTTGATGTACCTCTTCATGTAAGTCACAAATTGCTTCTTGTCAAAAGCAGGTTGCTCCTGCAAAAACAAAAACAAAAGAAAAAACAAATTGAACTTGTCTTAGATGTATCAACAATGTACACTTTTATAACAAAAAGTTGTAATCTTTTCCCACCTGAAGCCTAGAAGTGTCAACAATATCCACAACCTTGACGGCCTGGTCATCTCCGCCCTCCGCCGACGGGTTCGCCCCAATGTCTACGTCAATTGCCCCTTGAACAACCCACTGCAAATTCCAAACCAAACATTGTAGATGCTTTGGATGTGTTCTAAAATCCGATAATCACGGATACATAAAACTGGTCTAATTACCAACAACATTCAACAGGTTAAGAAAGTACGTAGTCAAGAAAGGAACAAGGGTGCTACAAACCTTTCCTTCAACCTCCCACAAGATATCATTCTCGATTTCCTTGTAAGGAAACGAGTCGGAGAGAAGCTCATCGCCTGAAACTCACCAGAAAAATATAACTTGGTATCAAAAATAATGTAACAGTAATATTAAAGGGTATAGATTTTCAGGTCTGTACACTTGCTGTTGAATGGAGAATATGAATTAACCTAAATTCCTACGGACAAGTAAAAAAGGGTCACTACTATTAACAGGATGACAATACAAAGTATTCTATTACTTTACATCATCATCGAGGAGGATCAAAAGAATACTGTTGGCTTATACCATAGTTTTCGGACCAAAAAAAAAAAAAAGGTTATGGCGTTAATAGCTTCTGAACTATTTTAGTGAGTGATAGTTTGGTCTTTGATGACCTTTTCTCTTTTTTTTTTTTCCCCAAATTTATACCTGGAAAATATGGTGCAAATTGTTAACATTCACTAAACCCGTTAAGACCCACGTGCTAGTCACATGATCATTTAATTCAGAAATTCTATTTATGGTAAATAATATATTTTGATATATTTGTGATAAATAATATATTTTTACCATAAATATTTTTAAGAAATAATTTATCTACTATAATTGAAATTATAAATAACTTGCCAAGGCAAATGTTGAATCAAATAAACAACTTGTGTTCTCAAGTCCACTTACAGGAACAGAACTTAATGCACGTTTTATCATCGTAATCTCAATAATATTTTTTAATTGGCCATCATACTATACAAATATTCACAACGAATACTTTTCACTTGAATTTATGGACCTCTATGGCTCATATCACACAGATAGAGAATATTATGTAATTTAATGCATATATCATTAAAAAGCGTCAAGTGGAATATAGTAAAAAGATTAGCACTTGACTTTGCAAACTTTTTTATATTCCTCTAGCAATAAGATGTCCAACAAAAAAAAAAAAAAAGAACTCAAATATCCTCCAATAATTTTGTGGATGGTGATAAGCAAGGTACATTTAGTCTGCATACTATTTTCTCAAAGACATCCTCAAACAATTAACGAAAAATCTATTTGAAGATTTCTGGATATTGTTCGTGCGATAAAACAATGATCAAGGGAATGATTATGATTTTTAAAAAATAAAAATAAAATAAAATTTGAGAGTACTAATTATATGTGATCAACTAATAGTTTCCATGGTTATAGAGTTTCTCTGTTTTCTCTCGCTCTTCGAAGTTGAAGTGAAGCTCGACCCAGAAAGCACGAGACGCTAGAAAGAGTG